ATTGAATTTTATGGCAATTATCAAATGCATGTTGACAAATGTGTGATTTATGATATTCTCTGTTTTTTATGTATTATTGGTGTTCTTTGAGTCTTTTGTGTAATGGTCTTGAGGTTTCTCCTATATAAAATTTATTGCATCCGCAAGGAATTTTATAAATTAAATTTTTTGTATTTTCAATTATATCATGAGGTTTTGTTACTGAAATTTTACTTCTAATTGTATTTTCAGTTTTGAAGATAGTCCTAATATTAMATTTTTTACCTACTCGTTTAATTTGATCTGAAAGTCCCGGAATAAATTAAATGAAAAGGTTCGTAATAGGTTTATTTTGAATATGAGTAGTTGTTAGTTGTTCCAAGTCGGTATCTCTGACCGTTTTCGAGATATTTCACATTGAAACATCTAGTTATTTTTTACCTCCCTATACAAATACACAATTAAATCCAATAAAAGCACGATAATTTACATTAAAAATTCAAAATTTTATGGCAGTTTTGTATTGATTTCAATAAATTATGATTTTTTAAAGCTCTTTATTCAACTGCAAACACGACAATATGTAACCGCGTTGCGTGCCGTCGTGATTTAAATTTTTAAATAAAATTTTCCTGCAAGCAGATTCTTCATAACCGTCCAGTTAGCATGGTCCTAGACATATCAGAAATCAGAACCGCCTGGCAGGACAGCGACTTTATCACTGACTGCTTGTGCTGGCACAACGTTTACCGACAAAGACACAATTCACCTCCCTTGACTATGTTACCTGAGGTAAATGGACTAATTGCCTTAATCGACTAGTTTCCACTAGACTCTTCTCCCCTTGTAGTTGTGCCATTTAGCTCAAACATGGGCCAATCATCTGGCTCACACCAACCGTTTCTACTACAGAAACGACAAAGACATCGGTCAGAACTTGTTCTGCAGAAGCACCAATGCCCTCATTACTGACGTGACTGGCCAGGAAGTCACCACTTATTGGTACTCTGCAGTGAAACAGTATGATTTCGGTGATGAACCTGATCGATTAAGGGCTAATATTAACGCAGGTAGCTGGAAAGGAATTGTTAGCGCAAATGGGGTTTTTGATTTTTTTTGTGTGTTCATGCAGGCCATTTTACCCAATTAGTTTGGGTCACCAGTAAACACTTAGGGCTGGGAAAAGCCCGTTCTCGTTCGGGGAAAATTGTGGTTGTGGCTCATTACGCCCCAGTGGGGAACATTTGCGGGGCTTACCTGCAGAACGTTTTTCCGCCCTGCGAGGACCTGCCCCGGTATGTATTGGGGTTGCGGCCCTTTTCTCCTCTTTAAAGGCAAAAAATCGCTTGAAAGGGCATTGAAATGTGTGTTTTTGTTCTTTTAGAATTCCCCATCCTCTACCCAAGAAGATGATAATGTCTGGAAGCACGGCGAGTGATACAGATAGTCAATCCACTACAAGCACAGCGTGATTTGTTTTGCTGATGGAATTTGCGGGAGTTTTTAGTGGTTTTTTTAGAAACTTTTATTCTGCTTTAGTCTAAACGCCGATGTCCTTCCAGGCTCTATATCTAGACGTATTTATCTAATTAATCAAAAGCGCAAATGGGTTTTGGTATCTACTAAATTTTACTTTTCCTTAGCAGCTCAACAATTATTCCAATTGGAATTAGTGCTTGTTTGCAATTAACCACTTTGTGCGTTAGTTCGGATATTTTTTCAGGGGCTGAAACATCTGGAAGGAGAAACGTTGAAGATGGTTCGTCGCAATATTTTCTCAACTGTTTGTTGGGCTAAAAATACGAACTTTTCCAATTTTAACCATTGGAAATTAAGTTATTTCGTGCGTTAATCGTTACAGCCTTTAGTTAGGAGCTGATAACTTTTTTGCTTTTTTCTTATGTACATTTTTTATATCAAGTAGCTGATGCAAATGCAACTATTTTTAAGTGAAAAAGGTCCACTTATTTCACGTATTCGGATCAATGGAAAACGAAGTTGCCATCATTGAATGAGCCAAATTTCAACCTTAGGGCTTGCGAGTTTCAGGTTTTTAAAGTCAGATTTGCCTTTAGCAAAATTTTTGAAAAATTTGTAAAAATTGGTGACCCGGTCGACTGAAATGATATTTTGCATAATTTTCAACTAAAGCTTCCTCCGTGTTTCAAATATAAGGTTTTGATCTGCAAGGGTTGGCGAGTTACAATTTTTTTAAGTGAGAGGTGCACATTTTCTTATGGCAAGTTGTTTGAAAATTTCGCAAAATTTGGTGATCAGTCCGAATAAGATAATGTTCAGTAGATGTCTCAACTGAAGCATCTTCTGTTGCTTATCAAAGTTTCAAGTTTTAATCTGCTTAGGCATTATAGTTATGACTTTTTTGAGTCAGAGGGGTACTTTCGCTCAAATGGGGCGCACTTTTAAATAAGCGACTAAGTTACAAAAATTGGCTAGAAATTTACTTAAAATTGAGGACTGCTGGGTAAAAAAAAGTTTAAGTTAAAGTTTCCCAAATATAATGATCTGCAAGAGTTGATAAGTTACAATTTTTTAGTCAGATATGCATATTTTGCAGCATTGTCCGATCAGGAGGACACTGGTTTGAAAAACGTATTGTTTCTGGAAAATGGTTTATTCTAACGAGATAAAATAAGAGAACCTTTCCTGCTTAAAAATATTGGGAAAAAAACAGTAAACCCCAGCGTCGAAACGATTTTTAAACCTGACAATTTGCCCAAAATGCCTAGAAGTTCATAGTTGCTTTGTTACCAAAACCCATACTGCTCGATACTGCAAAGAATAAGCTTTAAAAATAATTATTGTGATTTTAGGAAACTGAGCCTATAAAGCGAACGAAGTGATGATACGTTAGACCTGTTTAGCCGTTAAATATTAATCAAGTTTAGGGGCAAAGTTGATTTTTCTAATGTTCTTACGCCTAAATAGTTGTTAATTTGATTTGGGACTGAGCTACTCAACCAGGAAAACCTAATCAACTTTTGTTACTGAACTGATTGTTAATCAGCTTTCGAACAATCAAACACTACAATCAAAATTAAGCTTAGACTCAATCATTTATATAAATTTGTAGTTCTTTCAGCCACCACCAAACCGTTGGTATTTAATTAAAGACTGAATATGAGGCGAAAGTAGTTTGTTAATCGAGTACTGGCTGCAATTGTTAATTCCAACCCTGTTAATTTGTGAATTATTACAAAAAATTGTTGGTAGTTTAAAGCGCTTTTTACAGCCGTCCGAATAGTGAAGGAAAATTTAGGGGCTAATATTTAGTCAACTGTTGTTTTGTAAAATAAATTTTATGGCTTAGCTGTGTCTTTCTATCAGCCTTTCCTGCCACATTTCCTTGCTACATCTCTCTCAATCGATCATCAAATCAATCATCAATCAAATCGCTTGCCATGAGCATGCAAAAAGCAATTACAAATCATGAGCTCGGCTGAATGTTGATCTGCCATTTAGGCATTTTTAATTCAAAGTTTCAGGAAAATAGAGCAAAAGACCAATTGCAAAAAATCTTGTTAATATCAAGTTACGTATTCAGTAGCTCGTAATGCTGCGACCAAAGAAGCATTAGTAAATTATGCCCTTTACACAAAATATTGAGCTCAAAGGGCTCAAAAATTGAAACCCAAGCAGGGGAGAATGGTGAACTTTCCAACGTCGAAAGGTGGTTGGAAAGCACATTTTCAGAAGAAATATTACTAAGAAAAAAATGTTATTAAGAGGATCTACAACAGATAGTCCAAAACCAGATACATGATTACTTTTTCTTTACGTGAATTAAACATGAAATTAAACGGTTTTATACACATTATCGGTAAGAACAGTTCGAGTTTTAAGTATTTTTTGCTCAATCTTAATTAGTCAATTTTGCCACAGTAGACTGCTTTACTATGTAAAGTAGAGGTGTTCTGCTGCGATCACATCTTGGTTGCGAATTTTTGACCCATTTTTCAAACCGACAAAAATCAGACTTTCGTGCGTTTGAAATGGAAATTTAAGCGCTATCAACCTCATAAGTGTTCTATAGGGTGTGAAAGTTTCAAGTTGCTATTTGCTTTAAATATCCTCCATAAACCATTATTAAATAGTGATTTTGTTTATCATCAGTGTACAAAATACCAATACATATCTATGCAATTGTTTTGCCTGTGTTTTTTATCCCCTGTGTTATTATAAAAGAAAATTGAATATGGCGCCAAATTGAAAGTCTGGTCGCTCAGCCCGCAAGAGCGCTGCACATGAGTGGGAGGTCGAGTAGTCTGTGGCACAAGCCAGATCACAGAGTAACCTCTGTGGTCTGTGGGCACAAGAGTGTGGCGAACGAGAGTGCCTCTAACCTCTGTTTTCTGTGGTTTGTTTACAAGCAAGAAAACAACGTTAAAATGCCTCCTGTGAAAGTAAAGGGTAGTTGTTGTGTGCCCCATTGCCCCAACGTTCGGGGAGTGTCCAAAAAGCAGTTTTTCAAAGTTGGGGCCAATCTGGAAAACAGGCAAAAGTGGATGATTGGCAAAACCGTCATCCCCAAGTCTCAAATTGTGCATTGCTGCGAAGACCATTTCGATGTAATTATGCCTTTTACACACCTCAAGCCATAACTGTTGCAACATCTATTTTAGTTGCCCAATGATGCGGTGAATTACATTCGATGCAAATATACTCCTGGCACCAGGCTGAAGATTCGCCCAAAGATTCTGCCCCACAGAAAACTGCCTGTAAATGTCTGCAGACTGTGTTTGGATATTATTTACAATGACGATATAACTGTGGACATATCTGCGAAGCATGGTTATGAAAATGCTAAAATTGTAGCCACCCTACTTCCAGAAATCGTAAGAAATCAGGCGAATTGTGCTGTCTCGAAACTGAGTGGATATTACTTTAGGACTTCTCACTGACGATAGAACCAGTGGCCTGCTTGAAATGCTTCGAGCCTTTACAAAAGTACTACAAACTCAAGCAGAACGTCCTCAAAAGTGAAATTGTTGTAGTAAATTGTATCAAATCCATTGTGAAACGGTCACCCAGGCGGCTGTTGGATAAATGTGAAATAGACCTGTTTGATGAGTACAATGAGATTAAGGAATTTGTAGAAAAGGAAAAAGGTAGTTTTCCAACAAGATGAGTGGGACTTTTTCTTAATTGTTTGCGAATTTAGAGAAACGGAAGCTGGTTGAGGTCAATCGCGATTTTCACGTTGAGGGAGAAAAACCGCATAAAGATCATGAGGAGATTTTAATACAAGTGGAAGAAGATGGAGCTGAGGCATGGAATTATTTTTTTACATTTATCTCAAAACTGATAAATTTAATTCTAGGACATGGATGCAGTTGGTGAATCGGCAAACCAAAGTTTTTCTGCGGAAAGCAGCATGGACATGCAATATGTGACCACTTCGAACAATGCTGAAGAATCCGCAAATTCATTCGAGATGTTTGAATAAAATTTTGTTATCAAGTAATAAAGCCGGATGTGTTTAATTACTTTATTCATAATTGTACAATATTTACAAATTGGTTGATCTATTAAAGCCTAAGCTAAATAAGTAAACTTATCTGTTGTTACTCTAATGAAAATCTAAATTTAATTAAGTACGTATACATAATTCAGGAACAAGTTAGGTAGAACAAAAATCAACAACATTGGCAAAAGCAGCTGAATATGCCCTATTTGTCTAGTATGTGAGCTAAAAGCTGGTTTAAATAGTGATTTTCGACTATACTAGAAAATGGATAATTATCGTTGTAGAGTAGAAATTCCCCACTTTAAACGCATCGAGAAAACTGTACTTAGCGACTTTTTCCGTTCCACATTTGTATATACACTGCTTTTATATACACTTAAATTCCTATACATGTACGTTCGAGTGTCTACTAACTACAAACAATTTTTCGGAGTTACATAATTTCGATATTCATATTTGGTTTGTAACATTTAAATATATACTTAAGTGATATGTCTTAATTATACTCTAACAGCTATGAATGGTCCTAAGAATACTCTTAATAACTATAAATTAATTACTTGGTTTTAGATCAATACGTACGCGAGTGTTCAATATAAGAAGCGACAGCGGTAAGGTGTAAATTATATTTTAGGGAAAGAACGGCGCTCTCAATTGATTGATGACGAAAAGCGAACATTTCGCTCAAAATAGTATGCATATGTTTTACAGAGTGATTCAAATTTTAATCGGGAACATGAAGGAGATTATAGGACTTAAAAACATAAGTCTGTTTTTTAGATGTTAGAGAGATGAAATAGAAGTTTTTTGCTGGTCCAATCTTTGGACTGTTTTAAAGAGATGTTTTTTGATGGAGGAATTCCCACCTTTGAGTCAACAGTTCCCGAGGACATGACTCGACTTTTAGCTATTTTTCAGATATGTTTTTCAAATTTGGACGAAGCACAGCCATCGATTAAAAGCGTCTCCGATTTTTGTTCACGGCAAACAACAAACTTCTACCAAAAAAACCAAAAACAAACTTGTTTAACACTCTTCTAGTCCTTCGAAAATTGCATAGCATTATTTAACGATTTTGCTATTAACTGGAATAAAACAAAAAAAAGAGACAAAAACTATTCTGAAACAAACAGAAGATCTAATAAAATTTCGTTAAACTCCAGTGGAACATGACAAAAGAGGACGCAAAAAACTATTGCCCTGTACATTCAACAACCGTTGAATTGAACCGATTTTTATTGCAAGCTAAGACTGCAATAATTAGGTGGGCTAAACAAATCAAACCTGCTATTTTTACCATTTAGAATCTCTCGCAGGCGAAGCTTATCTGAAGCGTTCTTTTTGTTTTGGTAAACTTTGTCATAATTTTTATTTTTCAAGAAAATTTTGTCGCTGATGCTGCAGCTTTAATAACACCACCAAAAAAAAATTGGAACTAAAAGTTTTTTCTTTCTAAATCAGTTTTTAGGCAACTCGAATTTTTGCCAAAC